GAGAGAGAGAGAGAGACCTAGACGGCGCCGTGCCGAGTCGAGAGGTGAATCAAGCCGTGGCGAGGTGAGGCGAGTCGAGCCGAGCCGAGCCGCTACACAGACGATGGGCAGGATTCGGTGGAAGGGCACACGGCCGGGGAAAGATGCTTTTAGTTTATTACCTCGAGGAAATTACGCCGGCGAGTCCCCGTCGGCCTCGTTATTTTTTTTTCTTTCTTCCTTTTTGCTCTTCTTAAGGCCAGCAGCGCCAGAAGACGCGAGTCATCGCGACGCCGCGCGCGCCGTCGCGGCAGCGCTCGCTCGCTTGCGCTTAAAATCCGCACCGCTCTTCCTGAAACGCACAATAATGTGAAGCTCCGCCGCCGCGCATTTTGAGGAATTACATATCTTACGCCCTCCGTAACGCCGAGGTATTTCGACCGAGCGACGTGTACAATCGCGCTGCGCTTTTATCCGAGAGAGAGGATTTTATTCTCGGGGAGAGGGCGCGACGCGGTTCTTTCTTCCCTCGGAAGGGAAGAGCATCGAGAGCGGAGATTTACATTGAGAACAGGTCATATCTCTAAACCATCTTTCAGACATGAGAATTTCTGTTTATTAAAGAGATGCCTGCATCTTTCACGAGCTACTCGCCTCGCAGACGCGATCCAGGAACTTTGAGTACTTCTCATCATTAAATGAAGCACCGTCGGTTTTACGACCGACGGTCTTCCTCGAACCGCCGTTCGTATACGCAACAGTTTAACAACTTGGAATTAAAAGAACCGATAAATATCAACGTCGTTCCCGCGGAAGCGTTCGCTTCCTCCCGATTCCCGCGGCCGTAATGCGTTCCTTCCACGACGGTTTACGAGCGTAATCTATCCTGTCGTGTCATCGGAACGCGCATTATGCACAACTTGGAAACTTTTGCGCGCGTTAGGCGCCTCTCGTAAACGCGAACCGGCGGAAATTCGCCGAGTGAAATTAGGCAACCGACTTATGGTCGTTTGTGTAAGCGTACTTTTGTAAAACGGACTGTAAAAGATGGCAATTGCGAGCTCTCGGACAGAATGGCTCTTCCACCTCCAAACTGTTGGAATCGGTTAAAATCTAATAATTTGTGTAACAGAGCAATAAATTGCCTATGCTATAACCAATTACCGTGTTTTATATTGCTTTATATTGAATATCAAACAAATATTTTAATAATTAATATATCGCTACTATTAAAGAAATTATCTACAGAAAGTGTTGCAATTTTTTGAAGACAATCAACAATTGTGATAAGAATATACAGTATCTGGCCTAATATTATTAGACGTACATTTTTTAATATTTATTGATTTTCAAGAATTAGATTTACATATTGTATTAAAAATATATATACCTTCTATTTTAGAAAAATAAAAAAATTAATATTGTTGAATACTATCAAAATTGTGTTTTTATGAATTGAAAACGTTAAAAAAAAAAATATGTAAAAATAAAAATATTGCCATTTTCGTTCACTCAAGATGGATTTATCCAAAATTCGTGCGTCTAATATATAATATAGCCAGAAACTGTATATAAGAAATTCATTTCTAACAATGAAGAAATATATAGGTATGCGCACAGACATGTTAAACTGATCAAAGAGTTTCCCGTCTCCGTACATGGCGAGAACGGGCTGAAATTCCTAATTCACTTTAATTAGCCGTCACCGCGAGCCATCCGGACCAGCTGGTCGGAGGGTGGAGGCTGCCTGTCACTACCAACGGCAATTTTCCTTGGCGTCTGAGATCGCGTGGATTATCAGAATATCGGAAGATCGACGAGGCGACCGCCGGAGATGCCGTTAATGTAGCCGGAAATTACGAAAGAGACGGCTTTTATCGGACGTGCGGCAGCGAATGCGGCAGGTGCGGCGCTGCGCCTCCCCGCGCGATCGTCGTCTCTCGACGACGGGATATTGAAAGCGGCCGATATATAATCCACCGCTTCCCTCCGCGCGAGAGTCATTTCGTGTCAAGCCTGACGGAGGAAACTTAAAATCGCGATAAGCACGTCGAATGTATATATTCGATGTTTAAAAATGTTACGATGTTAAAAATGTGAAAGCATAATTCGCCATTATTTGTTTCATCGTTAATTGCTACCGTTCTTCTTAGGACGTATTCGTGCAATTAAAAATTTATTCTGTAATTCGGAGAATTCGATTTTAATTGGATTTAATCCTCAATTATTACAATCAAATTTATAGATAATGTTATTAGAGAGTACGCCGCGATCGAATTTGGGCTCGCCACGGCGACGGTTAAGCGGAGATTTTGGAATTAAAAATTAATTAGATTCTCTAGTGCGCGCCGCGGAATTAAATATTCCATAATCCGACAGACGCGGATCGATGCCGAGTGATCGACCACGTCGCGGCCGGGAAATATCGACATGTCGAGGTGTACGGCATTTCCGGCGATCGATACGGACATTCGATTTCCCATAGACGTTGAATGACGGGACAGGAAAGGGAGCCACCCCCTCCCCCCTGCTCCCCGCGCCTCGTCGTCGCATATCGCGGAGGACTAATTGGACCGCGGATGTACCTAATCGAACCTAATGCGAGACCGTGTCTCGGGCTCCCGGTAACGGGCCATGAATTATCGATAAGCCGCAAACGTTTCCGCGCACCTTCCACGTTCCCCCCCCCCCCCCCTCGCTATCAATGAAGTCGCACGTGGTGAACGGCCGTTTGGTGCACGGCCCGCGAAGACAACGCTCGGCCACCACCGCACCGATAACGGGGAGCACGACTCTTCGAGCACCGGCTAACGTGACAGATAGAGATACGCAGTAGGTAGAGTCTAATTAACCCTGTCGACACGCAGCCAGCTGTGCAAAATGCACGACTGTTTGAACAGCGGTCGGAGACGGCCATGTAAATCGTATCACTCGCGCAGACTTTGAGAAATGGAAAAGCGTAAGCACTTGGTGTAAAATCTTTAAAAGTGCCGAAGCAAATAAAACGCTTCACTTCGACACGAAAGAGAAAAATCTTGATGTCGTGTGAAGAATATATTATACGTCAGAATTTTATTTTTTTATTCACTAATGTTTATGCTTAACGCCTTCGTTTAATAACGCATCTGTATATAATTCGCGTGCGTGGTTTTGACATCCGCTGTAATTCGTCCCTTTGCAACTACAATCTTGACATCGAATTTTATCCGAAGAAGATGCGCACGTATCTCAGAGGTTACCGTAACCATTCTCGACTTCAAAAAATTGAATTCCGTTTTCTTCAGAAATTCCATTACCCCGCCCAATGCAATCAAGCGTTGATTGTCTCGAGGTGTAATATCGGAAGGGAGAGGGGGGGAGGAGGAGCGCACGGAGTACGCTTATACACAATCGCCGTAGGTAAAGCCCCTAACTTGCGAGCGGGGGGTTGGTCCGATCCGTCGCTACACGACAACATCACGTCCCGATACAAAAATCCTCCATTAGCAAAGCAAATACCCATTGCCTGTATTCTTTCTGTCCGTAGACACGGTCGAACAGCGAGCAGAGATGGATAAGATTGAAGGACCTCGCCCTAGAGAGCACCGGCCAATACAAATGCGAAGTCTCCACCGAGGCGCCGTCCTTCGCCACCACTTATCAGACGGCCAATCTGACGGTGATTTGTAAGTATCCATTCCCTATCTTAATTATATCACCATGATATACCCGGGAAGACTCTCGTCGTTCCAATATAAGAAACACAGAATAAATACAGAATTAAATATAAATCAATTTCCATTAGGTTTTATGCGTCGAAATGCGCGTGCTTGTATTTTCTTTCAGTTTTTCTTCTATCATATATTTATATTATTTAAACATATTCATAATACAAATTATGCTAATTTTATAATCGATTAAAAGTAGCTTACAAAGTTTTTAATGGATTCGATCCTCTCCTAACTTATAATTCTTCTACGATAAATCGGTAATCGTGTGATAATATTCTGCTGTTACGCATAAAATCCTACACCATCTCATTAATTCACGAGCGCCAAACAGAGTCTCTCTCTCTCTCTCTCTCTCGCCTGCCTGTTTGAGTTACCGCCAACAATATCTGCCATTATGGAATATTTATGTATACCTGTGCGCGATAAACTATTTCGGGTAACGCCCGCGTGCTGTTTTATTGTAAAATAGTTGTCCACCGGTTTCGCGCCACCGACCATTCCGCACATCCTCGCGCCATTAATTCGTGTCTTGGATGCTCACCCATCCGAATATACTTTTTAATTATACATACGCATTTGCGACTCCCTGTTTCGTTGCTCTATACATATAATAATATTAAACGACACACGTACAATTAATAATATTTTTCGATATTTTGTAATACCTATCGCAGTTGTATTATCACAACGTTCGCACAGGAAAACGTTGGATTTATTTTCTTTCAATAAAAGCTTGCTCTCACAGTGGTTGTTGCAATTCTTTTGTTTGCGATCAAAAATATATTCTGCGGATTACGTCAAATATTATATTTTCGGAGCAATCCACATCACATATATCTCTATTACTATTTATTATAATACGCAGTGGTTAGTAGACTTGCTGGAAAATCTCTTTTTTTTTTGTATTATTTGACCGCATGAATTATAAATGTAGATTAGAGAAAAATTCATTGCAATTTACTCCAAAAATTTGTCACAGGCGCGTGCATCTTTTCGCGCGATTTTAATAATTTGGACATTAATAGGCAATTAAGTGATAAAAGCCGCGCGCGTGCGTGGCCAGCCCAGCATTTTACGATAACACACTTACGCTGATTTCGTTCGCGTTTCCGCCACTCCCGGCCGCCATTAAATCTGTATGTTTCAATTAACCGTTTAATTATGTGCATTATAATTCATACGCGAATCACGTAAAATACGCGGCCGCCCGCCCCCGCGCTTATCAAGTTTCCCCTCGCTGAAAATCGGTCATCGAGCGACACTAATTTACCCGATTCAGCAACTCGAATAAAATCCACCGACAAATAAATCGGCTAAATGCCACGATTTTGTCGCGCGGCCGCGGAAGAGAAACCGGGCATTATCGTCGTTATCGTTCACCGCCGAGAATCGATCAACGCCGAAATTTATCTTCGCCTCCGCTCGCGGTTCGCGAGATTAAATGGTCGCCGCCATACGAACGCGATCCCTTTTTCTTTTTCCGGTAACCAGGGTATGAAAGCCGGTTTCGGGGGCGACAGGTGCCCGATGAATAGGCTCCCTCGAAAAAATAACGCGTCCGCAATTCTGGGCTATCGCTCGCGGCTTTCGATTCTTGACCGGGCCCCGCGCGTAAATCATCCGCGGAGTGACGAGACATGTCCAGGATAAAGCACTGTATACCTATCGAGCAGGACGAAACTGCCATATCATGGATTGGACGGTGAGGCTGTAAATCTGCGAACCGGTGAATGCCCGGGGGTGGACGACTTCGCGGAAATAACTTTGTCCTTTATTTAAACATTGAGTTCCGATATCTCGATGCTGCGCTTGAGTTAATTTGGAGTATATATTTTTCGCAGATTTTCTGTCATTTATTAAGAATTATATCAGGAATTTTTCAACCAGTTGTCCACAACTCAAGTTAACAAGAAAAAATGTACAACAGGATAACATAATATGATATAGTTACTCTTTAAATCTGAATCAGTGCATAGTCACTGATTATCGATGGTTATTTATTGAATGCATCAATCCCAAGTATTTCTCTGGTAATCAGTAAAATTATATAGATTAATATTAATAGTTTAATTATAGATTATTAGTGAAATTATAGTTAGATTATAGGTACTGACTCAATCAGTGATTTTTCAATACTTTTCCACTGATTCAGATTTAGAGAGTAAGCAAATTGTTACCTTGAATGAACGTTTTAACAAAGGGAGATATGTGTAGCGATTTGACCAATTGTACAACGTTTTAGAGAACGAGACGGAAAAAAGCGAGAGCGGGGGATGGGGAGGGGGAAGAGGAAACGGAAACTGAGCAGAGAGGAAAAAAAGAAGCGCGTAACAGCGAGAAGAGAACGAACTGTTCAGTTCTGCGAGCCCTGTCGACTGGGCAAAATTTGTTTCTGTCCGTGGCGAAGGTGCCACAGGAACTGCTCCTCTCCCCCGCCTTCCCCGGTGAAAAAAGTTACATCGTTTATCACGATACATCATCAAAAAAAAAAAAGGTCGAAAAAACCATATTCGCCTGCGTCCCGTCGAATATTTTCGCGAGAGTGGCGAGCCTATCTCCGCTCTCGATTCGCTCGAGTCCGAATTTGCTCGCGCAAATGTCGCGCGATGTTACGATCGCGCCCGCCGATCGAATGCAGATTTTTCGCACGTCCCGTGACTGCGCGTTCGATTGTTTTCTCGCGAGCACATCGACGTTGTTATACGTCATATACTCGAAGTGAAATTGATCGAGCCGTCCAACGGCGACGTCCGTGAATGGAACGGAATAAAATCTTTTTTATGTAAGGCTCGATTTTTCGCGTGTAAGCACGTCGATGTGTATTGAGGTGCGTCAATTTTCCCCCTTCCTCCCCCCGCCCCTCCTCTCGAAACAACTACAGCACGAGCGTTGCGATGGGAAATAGTTACGCGAACGCGGCCTGTAACGAGAAAAGAGTTTTCGTAAACACGATGGCGGTTCGTGTTGATCGATACGGGCGGAAAATTACGGAATCGCGACGTTTGCATAAAGTAATTGAAACGGCGCGAGAGTGCTCGCCGACTCTCCGCTCCCGAAACACAATGAAAAAAATTCGCGGGAGCGCCCCTCGGAAACGCTTTTCGCATACCATTCCGCGTCGGGATTAGTTTTGCGATGAATGAAAGACACGTAATTTGTAAATGGCCTTTGTGTCGGCGCGCGCGATATTAAAAAAAGCGACGCATGTGCAGCGAAAATATTATTCGGAGATGAATTCTCGCGAATATTGCGCGAGATCTTGCGGGTGGAGGAGGGAAGGGGAAGGGAGGAAATATAGAGAATTGTATGCGCTCGCGGGCTCAATTATATGTGCCAGCTGTTCCTTTACGCGCGGAAATTGTTCTTTATTAATTCGAAAAAATGCGAGGCGCATCGTCGCGCGGACCGTTAATGGGGATTTCACCGTTGTTGTTAATACTTGCGAGTACTTACGGCGGAATTATTAAAGACAAGGAAGTCAAGTGCACGCTTCATTTCGCCGACAATTTGCGAGTAAGAATTTAATATCCGCTCGTACGCAAGAGCGTTTGCCTTGGTAAAAACCGGTTTACCGAGGCAAACGAGCATAATTTATGCAGTTGCGAAAAAGCGCGACTATTTCTCTCTCTCTCTCTCTCTCCTCTCTCTTCTCTCTCTCTCTCTCTCTCTCTCTCGTCGAGCCGGCGCTTTATACCCTTTGGGGTCTCGCTGATATTTCTCATAATGAAGAGTACATATGACCGTATACGCGTATTTGAACAACATATGAAAAGAAGAGCATTCCAGAAAAAAAAATGTATAAAACGACTGGAAAAGCCGCATATATCTTCGTATATATAACGCGAGCAGCTTAATGAAGCGTCTTTCTGTCTGGTTTACTAGCTATTCTCCGCATTTCCACGACCGTAAAAAGTCATCTGAATGGAAACATTGCAAACAAATGTTCCTTTTCAGTGTATGTCTATTGTTAAACATTAAGGCCGGCTGTACGTGCTTTATTGCTACAACAGTTATTATTTCAGTCGCTAATTATTATACAGCCTTGATCAAGTATAAAGCATCCCCCATAAATTAACGCAAATATTCTATATTTAATGAAAAATAAATTAAAAGGCAGTTTTATTGAAAAATAAATTTATTTCTGTAATGATTTTAATATTTTGTTAAACTTCGTTTGGCTTTTATTGCTGCCTTTCCCAAGAAAATGCAATAAATTGAGGATGCTTAATAATACTTATGGCTAAGGCCGTATAAATGGATTTTTGCGGGTATTATATGTACACATTGTGAACCAGAAAACTAAGACGGTTGAGAAATAGCTGAAACAAGTTAGCTTCTTTAACCGAGATATTAAACTTTAAATTAGTTACAAAACCGACGTTCCGTTGCATTCGACCATCCAATTTTAACACGATTAATTACTTCAATTTCGTATTCATATAATGCATATGAAGTACATATTGCATGTAACACAATTTTCATCGCGCGTACTGCAAGGCGGCGCTATCTTGGCTATGTAATGAAAATTCAGAAATCTCATTAGGATATCGCGACGCGAAAGTGTATCGTAGATGCAAAAACAGAAACATCTATACTTAATCTGGAAAGCATATCCGCGAACAGGATGACGTTTTCTCGAGAAGATACAGACTCTTGGATTATACATGAGACGTCATCGAGAATTTGATGTCCCCTCGATCGTTCGTCTTCCGCGACACCCTGCCAACTCTTTCGCAATCTCTCGATAACATAAGTCGACCGACGAAAGCAATCAAGTCGGATAAAACCGCGATCTTTTTTATTCGATTATCAAAGCGTTTAAATTCATTTATTAATCAAAACGCGTTGCTCTTGTCTATTACATTTTTTTAAATGTATATTTGTTTAAATTTAGATATAATATCATCGATATTTTGCAACTCGCATAAATTTGCAGAAAGAAATTCTTTTATAAT